TTATTTGGGCAGATATCATGGGCAAAACTGTATGTAATACTATTTTTGCTTAGGTCTTATTAGACAAAAGACCTGAAGAGATGCTGTGGACATCATGTCCTAAGTTATCAGTTTGAAAACAAGCATAAACCCTATGACTCTCAGTGGCCTTTGAAAGGGAGACAGGGAGAGCAGATACTGGAAAAAAACTACTGCAAAGAGCCAAGGAACAGCAAGTATCCAAAAGAGTTGTGAACCTAAGGTTAAGCAAATGCATTTTTCTTACTCCTTCCCCATGCTGCATGTTGCTGTACAAGTTGCTCAGCTAGAAAACAGTCTTTTTTATTGACTCTCATTTCCCACAGACAACAATACTGGCCATTTTTTTATCTGTGGTTTTTTTTCTAAAATCCTTTGGAAAAAATGTAAAATGTTGGATATGTGGAAATCCCTTGGCCTAAACTGTCTTGAATGTGGAATTCAGCAAACATTGGGTTTTGTTTATAAGACTGGCATATAAGGCAGTTCGCTTACAAGGCATTCAAATGAGGAATAATGAAGCTGATAGAGTGCTAAGAATACACAAACGCTATTTGCTTTGTAAAGCTGTATGTGGAATCCAGTAATGAGTCCTGGGATACAGCACAGTCTATCACTGTAAAGTAATTATTTGTTGACTGCTGAGCCAGCTGGGTTGAATTTGCTTCTTGGAGTGTTCAGAATGCCAAAGCACCTTTAAATCTCAGTCTTCGGTTTAGATTAGACATGTTAAATGACAGCACATTTTTTATGTCTTACACTGTCTTAGTCTCCTGATGCTAAAAGGAAATTCTTGTTGAGATAGTACAGAACAAGGTAAGTTAGAAAGGAGAATGAATAAAGAAAGAGCTTTTGTTGACCAATTACTTGTCTTTTAAAATGCTCTCAGAGATAGTAATAGCTATACCTACAAGCTATTGATATCTTGGGACTGTGAGGTCTGATTCTGCCCATGTGGAAACAGAAAAAGTACATATATATAAATGTTGAAGAAAGGTTAATACTGTATGGAAAGAAAAGCTTCTCTGGGTGCAGGTAGCTGTTTGTATGCATGTGTGTCTGGGACCTGCTGGTGAGTATCTGTGTGTGTAGTATACTTGGGCTTAGAGCACACGAAGTCACTTCTCCCCAGACCACCCTGGGGTGCATGAGAAGGGCTTAGCAAAATTGCAGTGCAAAGGATAAAGAAGCATTGGTCTCCTGAGATCTAGTCCATTGCTTCAGGCAAAAGCCACAGTGCCACAACCTGCCTTTTACGGCCTGCCTCACAGAATTACATCTGCTGACTTAATTCTGGAGGCAAGAATTAATTCCAGAGGCAACAATCATCTGGTAGCATTGGGAGCCACCCCAGTGTTAGTGGTACCTCCTGTGCAGTCCCCTCTGGGCTTCTCTGGCCACCTAGAGGAGGTTGTGCTTGACACTGCTCTGTCCCATGAGGAAGTGAGTTTTGCATCCTGCTTTTACTCAAAGGGAAACCTTAGAAAGACACTTGAACATCTCGTATCTGATGTCCAGAGAAGTCCCATGTCTTATTTTGCCACTGCTCAGAGCTAAGGAATCAAAACCTTAAGTGTTGAACCCTGCAGAAGGGGGCAAAGAAGAGTACAGGGAGAAGACCAGCAAGACAGCTGAAGAGGATGGACAGAGGACCAGACCTAGGAAAGGTTTCTCAGAGCATAAAACTCTATAAATGTCCATCTTTTTTGGAGCCTAGTCCATACACTTCCTACAGCACGTGGGAGTGCTTGAAACCTCAGCTTCCAACCCAAACTGGTCTGAGTGCCGAGCAGGTAACTATCCAATATCAGCACATCTAGGAACCAGCCAGCACGGAAATCCTGGAGTGAGGTAATCTTATCCACTCACACCTCATAAAGCCTTGCAGCAACCTATCTATCTGGGAAATCCAAATCCGGTTTAACGATCCAGAACCTTGTTGTGAAGGTCAGTATTTGTGACATTTAATTTTTAATTATTATCCCAAAGAACTGAGGAGGCCCCATGCTTTCTTATTAAAACCCATCTGGAAAAACAGACAGTAAGAAGAGCAGCACTAACATTGCTTGGATGATAAACACAGGAAAAAGCAGTGTCTGTAGGTGTCAGGCAGGTTATTTCACTCCAAGTACACACCAGGAAACAGGAGAGAGCTGTGACTCCCTGTGGCACAGCCTCAGCAGCCCTTATTCCCTGCAGTGGTGCCTGGAGAAGGCCAGGAGCATCAGCTGAAAGAAGGACGATTTCCTAGAATGTACTTGTTTTTTTGTTGTTTTTTTTGGGGGGTTGTTTTTTTTTTTTTGGGGGGGGGGGCTGGTGGTTTGCTTTTTGGGGTTTTTTTTGGGTGTGTGCTTTTTTCTTTCTTTTTCTTTTTTTAAATGTAATACAAGTAGAAAGCATTTACACTTAACTCCCCTTTTTTTGTCAGACATTTCTGACTGACTTTATACTAATTTTTTCTTCTCTTTTTTTTTTCCAATGAATAATAAGTTACTCTGCTTATACGCAAGGTGTTTATAAGGGATAATTTCTGAAAGAATTAACCTCTGACTCCTCATGAGTTCCTTAATATCTCTGTGACTGAGTATTCAGCCCAGAACAGGGCTCAAAACTGACCAATACCTGATGCTACAAGTATTTTCTTGTTTGGAAAGTCTAAGGGATTGCTTTTCAGTTGTTTTTTTCCTAAGCTTCCTTATTTTTAACACACATCCATAAGGGGGAAGACAAAAAATTTTTAAGGTGTTGCAACACACTTTATTTTGTCAGGCAAATAGCATTTTAGATATTCAATTAAATAGCACTATGTTAAACTACTAAACTATTTTGTTCTTTCTTACACACTATATGATGCATATTCACTGTAATGACAGTTTCATCATGCTAGGAACTTATACACATACCTACACTTTTAAAAACCAGATTTTCTTAATAAAACACACATATCTACAGTAACAACAATTGCAAAGAACACACTGTTAGGTCAAGATTTCAGCAAACTTTACAAACTACACCAAATAAAAATAGCAAAAAAATATCAGCACACGGTGAAGTTCTTAGCAGAGAACATATCTTTACATTTGGTGAAATTATGCCTAGAAGTCATTTTTGCTTTCATATTTTTTTAAGGAATAAAATTATATACATTATTTAGTAATTCTCAAAATAGGAAGTATTAAATAGCACAAATAATATTACAGTCTTAAGTTTTGGTGTTACCTACAGTAGAGGGGCTACTTTAAACAAATAAAAATTGCAGTTTGTCTATTCTGTACACTAAGGCCAAACCCTCAGCTGGTATCAACCACAGTAGCTAAATGGACAGCAAGGAAGTTACATTAGTTTATACCAGCTGAGCATCTGGCTCCTGACTACTCTATACATGGGGAAGGTTCCTAAAGCATGGGAGCTTGGACCAGTTATGCACTGACAGAAGCTTATTATATATATATATATATATATATATATACTGACGTTCTCATGCAGCAGGAAAAAATGTTAGCTTAAGTATAATCCCTTAAACAGTCATACCATAATAATGGTATATGAAGCAGCTTTAAAAATATTATTTTATAATCATATGAAACTCTGAAACTCTGAGCTATGCTGATTGTTTTAATGGAATCCCTTATTGCCAATATTCTATTAGAAAACAGTGGAACTGTAATTTCTGAGGCCTAATGGGGGCCTATTAAACTATCACTGTACCTAATCACTTACAGGGCAAATTGTACCCTTAAATACCTATTAATCACTGTATTCCATCTGGAAGCAATTATGAGCCTCACAATAGACATTAGTATCACACTAACTCTGCAGTGAATCTGCTGGGAAAATAGGAAGGGCATGGCAGCATACAGAGAATATGCACTAGTGTCATTCCAGGAGGTAGTTCTATTTCATGGCACTCAATTTTTGGTTTGTCACTTACACACTTCAGAAGTCAGTCATCCTCAGGAAAAAAAAAAAAAGAAAGCAGTGTGCTGCACTGAAAGTCAGCTGGCAAAAAAACCCAAACCCAACCAAACCCTTATTTTCTCTCACCCATTTCAGGTTTTTTTATTTTTGTTTTTGTTGGTTTTTTTTCCCCAGAGTCTGCTTTGCCAGGTCTTGGGGCCAAATCCAAGCTTGCTGAAGTCAAAATTTCCTGACAATTTCCATAAGAAGGTCCTTAGTTACCAGTGGCTAAATATTGCTGAAATATGCATTTAGGCCTTGATTAAGGAAAGCACTTAACTAGATAGCAGTATATGAGCAGGCTGGCACTGTCATGTTTTTTGATGCAAGCAATAATAACAAATTAAATTCAAAGGGCTCCCACCAGCATCAAAGGGATTTAGAGACAGTGTTTAAGTGGTTAGATCAGGGCCCATTTCCCAGCTATTCTGCATCAGGTGGTGATAAAGTGACACATCTAAGTGATACCAGGTAAATACCAGTGTTACTTCCATTACCAGATCTGTGGGCACAAAACCCCATGCCTTGTAGAGTTACTCCCAGAGTATTCTAATAGAAGTAGCATTTTAACTTAACATAGCTCAGTCTTGAGCCGAACATCAGTTTGTATTTTTGAATAGTATCATAAATAATCATAATTTTAATAAGGTACTCACACATTTTTAATGCTTCGAACAGATGCAGTGGCTTCCAGAACACTCTTACATAGTAAAATGATTGATGATTTGTCCCTGTTTTTTGGCATTAGTGTTGCTCAAAAAAAAAAAAAAAGGTGATTGTTTTTCTTAGGATGGCTTGATGCACATTCACCCACGTTTTAACAAAACTTACTTCATTAGACCTGACAGCTGCTTCTTAAGCAAAAGATTTCTTTTTTTTTTTTGACCAAAACCCATTTTCCAGTTTTATTTTTCCCTCATTCTTTTTTTTTCTTTTCTTTTCCTGATCTGCTTTTCAGCAGACAACTGAAAGCAGGAAGAAATTGGCAAAATAAGATGGAAAAGAAAAAGGGTACAAAGACTGGAAAATGGGAATGGTTTAATTAAAAAATTCAAGTTAAAATATTTGCAACTTTGAGAAAACAGTTGAAAAAATAATGTTTTAAATTTTTCTAAGATACTTATGACTTGTTTCCACATTGCAGAAACAGCTCCAATTTAATCATGGAACAGAATAAAAATAATCTATGATTTTCATTTCTGAGTAAACACTAAACACTATACCTACATTCTGTCCTTTGCAAAAAAATTGGAGTGTAATCTGTTTGAAAAATAGCTAAAATACCTAAGTCACTTAGGTGTTTTTCAAAATTCTGTGTATAATGAACATTCTCTTGGTACCTTTGTGCTGCTTAAAAAGCTACATAGTGTTGTAGGACACCCTATTTTAATAAAAATCAATATGAGCAGAGATATTTTAAGTTACATTCCAGATCTCACTAATTTATTACAACTCATACTATGCACAATAATCAGTGCTTCCTTTGATAAAGTATAAAGTCTTTGTTTTTCTTCTATTTGTTCCTTCATTTGACCTCTGAATGAATGAAACATTTCTACTATACTTTAATTGCTTCCTATCAGCATGCATTCACATGATTTGGACAATGAGTGAAAGCTGTAAACCCAGTATTGAGCAGTAAACAAGAAGAAACTCATGTTCTTAAATGCAGTGCAAGAAATCCTAGTACCACCCTACTTTGAGCATACATCTTACCCCAGACTCTTTCACCACCATTCTAGCTGGTACAGTTCCAGAGGTGCAAGTTAATTTTGTAAAAATTTCTACTCAGCTGTAATTAAATACTGAGATGTTAAAGATGAATCTGTTTTAAGATGAATACCCAGTTCTGCATCTAGGACAGAGCCCAGCCTAGTGTCAATAAGCATCTAGGAAAGAAAATGCTCTAAGTTATTTTCTTTAGATAAGTTACACTGCATTTCATTGGGAGAGAGATCTTTTCCAAGGCTTGTTGGCTTTTCATTTAATTTTTTTATCATATTTGCTCAAATTTGTTCTCAACAGACAAATATAAGCCCCCTACAGTGAGGAGAAAGATACCTATTACTACAAAATAAAATTAAGATCCAGGTAATTGATTCCTTCTATTTCTACTTTTCCTGCTATTGATGAGGGCCTTCAGTTTGCTGTAGTCACCTCTCATTTTCTGGGATTCTTCCCTCTGCTGACTTGGCTGTCTGCTGTCTTTGCAGTACTGGTTAATCATCTGCATCTCGGAGTGGCTGAAAGCTCCCACAAAGTCCTTTGGGTGGAACTGCAGTGCTCGCACTGAGCTGGCCCAGGTCCAAGGGGACCACTTGTCAGTCATGACGGCCACCATCTCTGAATCCAACACCTTGAAGTTGATCTTTGCCAAGGTCTGCTTGAAGCTGTTCTCCGTCGCGATGCAGTGGTAAAGCCCCCGGTCACTGTCCTGCACAGAGCGAATGAGGAGTCCTTGCTCAGTGGCTATGATCCTCTCATTCAGCTTGACCTGAAGAGCAGAAAGGCAGAAGGAACTTTTTAGGGAATGTTATGGAACAACATAGTATTGGACCTTCTGGTAAGTTTCACTTCAAACACGACTTCCTTTCTCAAAGTTGCAATATTTTTATATATATATGTTTTCATAATGTTCAAATAGCAGAGTTGAAGAAATGAACTTTTATTTGCCAGAATTACACCCTTGAGAATGTCTCTTCCAGCATCAGAGATTGCTGCTGAGACTCAGCTGAAGAAAGGTGCAGGACTGAAGGGGTTCATTTGGCATTGAGCACAAAGTGGCTTCTCATTAAATATTTTGACTTTGAGCAGGTTCCTAGGGCTAACTTCTGAAGAACTCTTATCTGTTCTTCAGAGGTTATAGCTTGGTATAAAAATTATCATCGCAGTAGCCTCAGCTTGGACTTGGCTCATTGGAAACCGAAAGCTATTCTACTCTCCTGTGTTCTTTCTGGCTTCAGACTCTGGACAGTCCCAGGAGACGGTCACATGATCTGAAAGAAGCAAGTTACCATAGCTTGTTGAGTTATCATGCAAAATAAATGACTGTGCAGATGTCCTTTTGCATATCAGCTGTGAAGTAAAAATGTCTAGTTCAACCCATTATGAAAGAAAACCGGTGCTAGTATTTTTGTGAATGATTTTTCTATTTTGCTACTGCACTTTGCATTATACCTAATACTTTTGCTTCACTTATTATAGTATTATTCTATTGTAAAATTTTGTAGGCATTGTGGAGGATTTCCAAAAATATGAGGGCTTGAAATGTAATTAACCCTTTGACTGCTTTAGTTTGCCTGTTGCTATTTGAAACTGCATTGATTCTAATTCAGTTGTTGAACATAAGAACAAAAAAGGGAGATGTTCTGTTGAAGCAAAGGGTTAAAGAACTGCACCTATTGCCAGCACATGGCTTGAGTCTTTGAAGAATAAGTGAGAAAACTCACTGAGAGGCTTCTAAGTCCCCTCTGTTTTTGCAAAATTGACTGATAAGAGAATAATGCTTTTCACTATTTATAACCTATCAACAGACACCACATTACTTAATGGTTCCTTTTGAAAGATGTTTCTTTTTATTCATATAGTAACTGCCTTGGATTTGAAATGGATTTTTTCCCCTTTTAAATTACTTAAGGAAGGTACATTCCCCATAAACAATCATACTGTATATTACAGTGCTGAAACTCGAGAGCCATAGAGACTGCAGTAATGGAAAATGTGATTGCACCATGGTGAGGAAATGCTTTTGTCAATACGTGTTCTTACCCTGGACTAGTTTCCTGCTAAAGAAACCTTTCACATTTCTCCCACTTTTGCCTTTTATCTCTTCAATAGCACAGAGGGGCTACTGCATGCTGACTTCTTCCTGAACTTTATGCCAGTTATTGCTTTTGTGCCTATTTCCTTAGATCAAGAAGAAGTTCTGAGTGCTGCAAACCTTCAGTTTGCAATTAGTAAGGTGTGAGGGAAAAATTCTTTAATTTTCTGATAGCTGTTTTGATCTGATAGAAACCAGTGGGGCTGAGAATGAAGTCCCAGCTATACTGAAGAGTCTGCTCTTATTCATATGAGTCAATGCTGGTCACTGTCCTGCATCCACAGAAGTTCTCCAGCTTCACTGTAGTCAGACTGCCTGGTGAAAACACAAACTGTCCCCTGCCTTTGTCTGGGGAGGGAATGTGATGCTGACTGAGGATCCTCTCAGAGCTACTGCTCACATTACTCACCTCTTTCCTCCTGTCATTGTCTTTCTGTAGCAGCCACTTAATAGAAGCCTGAGGAGATTTAGGTGTGCATTCCAGAAAGGTGGTGTTGTTTTTCACTCCATACTGAACTATTTCTGCAGCATTTCTGTATGCTGGGAAAAAAAAGAAAACAAGTCAGGATACTGTGAATGGTGATTTAATGTAGAAAACAGGTAGCTGTTTGCAATACAGACAAAATGAAGTATGTCTAACTCCGATACTGGCCAATAATAAGTAATTTAAGGGAAAAATTTTTCAAAGAAAATAAATGAAATGTGAAGAAGTACATTCAGTTCCAAGTACCAATGTTTTTAGAGTGACGTGGTCTGTTCTGAGAAATTAGGATACCTGTATCCTGGTAAGCCTTGCTGATGGGGTAGCTGAACCCAGGGATATTTTTCTCTGAAATTATTTCATTCTCCACTGTTCCAAAGGAGAATGAAGCATTTAATATATTTCTTCACACTTCACCATTCACAATGAGTTGAGGGAATATGGTTGTATGACCAAAATAGAGCAGCATGCCCTAAAGAAATCTCCAGCTACTCCAGCTGCGAGCAGCATCACAGGGAAGAGAGAGAGAGCAGGCTGGGCTCCTGCTCTTCTGCTTCTCTTCCAACACAAGGAAGGGACTTGGCTCTCAATCTTAAATGTGATGAACACACAGACAGGCCAGCAACAGAGAGAAGGACAGATTTATAGCACTCCAGTAACACCTGGGCAAGTGCTGAGCATATGTCATCACTTAGACTTGTTGTGTCCCTTTATAGTCTCGATGGATGAACAATTGGCAGTCACTGACAGAAACTTTTAGGTGCTTATTGCTTGGCCCTAACCATAATATTTGTCCTGAAAACAAAACACCTCCAGATTTAAAAGCTTGCTTCATAAATGAAATACAATTCTTTTTTTTTTTTTTGAGAAAGGCGCAATGGACACCAAATAATATGAGAAGTGCAAATACCTAGAGGTTACATGTCTAAAATCTGACTCTGTTTTTGAACAGTCTTAAGACTGGTTTTCCTCAGACTCTACTTTATCTCCCATTCTTTTCAGCTACTTTCATCAACTGATATGTGAAATTAAAATCTATTCTACTAAAGGAAGGAGACTGCCTGGTTCTAGTCCTTCAAACTTTTTAGCATATTTATGATATTGTACCAAAACCAATTCTAACTTTAGCAGAATAATGCAGAAATATTTTGCATTCAAAGGCCATAAGCCACAAAATAACTTATCTGTGGGCTGACCTATCTGTAGCTGTGGAGAATCACAGGTGTACCACAATATTACTTTTATTTATACTGGAACTAGGTGTACCACAGACAGACAATTTTCTCTGTTTAATTGATCAATATATATCTAATGTTCTGCTTACTCTATACTACTACAACTTATACATGCTGAGAAAAAGATTGAGAGAACACAAATGCATTTCTCTAATGGCCATAAGGGCTAACACAAGCATAACAATATTAAACAGACATTTGAAAAGCAACCAAACAAGACCCTTAGTTCTTGACGATGTATTTAAAAATTACAATATGCCAAAAATATTGAGTTTATACATGCTTAGAGGTCTAACGCACACAACCTAATGTGTTTAAAGGCTTTGATTCAACATTATGGTTCTCTATGAACTTGGAAGATTTCTTGCTATTGCCTGTCTATCTGCTCTTTTGTCCTGTAGACAGATTTCATTTTTTCCCCCAAACATAGTAGTTTTGCTATAAATGGTTCTAATTATATTTTGAAATAGTCTAAATTGCTGTTTCTTTTTATCTTGTGTTCCACCAGGGAAACAACTGCCATCTACCTATGCTATATCCCACTTCTGCCACCGAGACATCCTTTATAAAGTTTCTAAAACACATAAATCTATAAATACATCCACATCAAAAAAGTGGTTGGAAAACAAGAAACCTGTTTCCCAAGACTGTCAAGGTTGAAACATTTGTTTCCCCTCAGCCCAGAAGGCAGAGAGTTGACGTTCTCATATTTTCCACATGGAATGAGAAGACACCCACCCTTGGGACAGACAATGGGTGGGAGGTCACGGCACATGCCTTCGAGGGAGGATACACAGCTCAAGTTGCTTCAATACAGATCTCTCAGAGCTCAGGTGCATGTTCTAATGCTGGGGTCATCTTTTGTAGTTACCTGTTCAAGCTACTCAGTTTCATATAAATGACCTAATACTGAATCATGGGGAAAGACCCATTTGAGCTGAGGAATCTACAACCGACTGACTGCTGTGGTCTTTTTTGATCCAGGTCATTTTTCTGAGACCCCGTGGAGACCGTTTCAGTAGAATTATTATTAATGGAACTTTTTTCACAGGTAATTCTAAAAACAGTGCTCTTCTATTAAAAAAAAAAAAAACAAACCAGTAAAAAATTGTCAGGTCTATTATTTGGTCTCCAGATGGTACGGATGAGAATGTACTTCAAGATTCAGGATCATAAGCAGAAGTGAAAGGAGTATAATTCTCTGATGTGTGCCCTGGTCTGATGGCATATATGGCCAACTTCTCATTTGGAGTATGATGAACTATGTATTTCATGGTTCATCATTCTATCATATATATGCAAGTTTCATGCAATTGCAAGAAAAGATGCTGAAACCAAACCAACCCAAAACTTGGACTTGGAAAATAATTATGCTTTACCAGTAAACCACACAGATAATGTGAGTTATGATGAATCACATAAAGGTTCTTTATATAGCATGAGGATCTCTAAATTATAGTACCTTTCAGGTTGAAACCTCGGCACTGAGTCAGAGGGTTTCCATGTCTCACATCTTGCCTGCGACTCCTCCTGCAGTATTTTGTAAAAAAAAATGTTATTCCAAGATAACTACACTGCAAATAGACACTTTTTTATTTTTGGATTTGTTATTTTTTTTTACTAGATCAACTGTTAGGGCTAGTTCATGACCTACTGTGAGTGTGCTTTACTCTTGGCAGGCTTGCTGGAGTGGAGATACTGTTTAAGTGAAGAATCAGTTTGTTGAAGTTTATAAAATGGTTGTAGTTTTGGTAGGTAAATTAGTTTTCCAATGGAGGTACAGAGTTGGAAGGATTAGAAGTGATACATGAAAAAGACATCTGTTCACTCATGAAGACCTAACATTCAAAGCCAGAAGCCCCAGCTGGAGCTCTTCATAAAGGCAAACACCTAAGAATCTTGAGATGCATGAGAGTCATAGTGCTCATACCTAATGCACCAGCAGAAAATTATGATATAGGGCATGCTCCCTCCCCAGTTTTAGCAGGCACCATATTTTTGGAGCCTGTAGCCACCTTGGCAGCAGAGTGACTGAAGTGTTCATCCAGAATGGTGGAGAGCTATGATTCCATTCTGTTATTTACTTGAGGGATGCGACTATTTCCAAAATATAATAGAACTCAGTAAGTATCAGAATACTTCTAAATGGAGACTTTATCATATTATCTGGATGACTGATGCAAAATCATAATTCTGTACGAAATTGTCTAGGGAGCTTACTGGGACTGGGAATACTGGCATTTCAGTCCTCAGCTAGGAGGTCACTGCTCACAGAATTCAGTGCATGAAAAGCTGGTACACAAATTTTTTAATCTTAAGATATATTATTTTCTTTGCTAAATATTCTGTAAGGTAGTTCAGTATTTATCAACTAGAAAAATATATTTGTGATAGGTTGTTGCAACTGGATGTTGCTGTGATATGTGACAGCTTTATTCCAAACCATTGCACTAAGGGCTCTCAGGATCTGAAACCAGAAAAAGCCCCAGGAGCTGCAGTACCACTGAGTGAAGGGTGATGCCTCTATGGCCACATTATTCCAGGTAGTGCACAAACACCCAGAGATAGTGCTTATAATCCTCTGTCACCTGATCCTTCACTGTATTGTTTGAAAAGGAAACATTTGAAAGGTAATGTTTCAAAGGAGTAATTTCTGACATTCCAAGTATAGTTTTGATGTTTACCATCAAAAATATTTCATGCTATGCCTTGGGTTGTTAATCCTTGTAAAGTATTTATGTGAGTCAAAGGAGGTAATGGAGAATTTCTGAGTAAATGTCAGGATTCCTGTGCTACTGTGAGCTGCTCCACAGTGTCAGAAATGGCATGTCATTTGCATTAAGCACTTCTGAGAATGTAAACTTACAGTTCGATATTTATAAAAAAAAAAGGAAGTGGTGGTTAGAAAATTAAGCTAATACTGTCAGGAGTTTGGGGATAAATCAATATTGGATGAGGAACTACAGTAATTCACGGGAGACAGAAGTGTCAAAAGAAGAAAATAAGCAAATGCATGCAGCAGAAACTACTGTCTAGACTATAGGATTTGGCTCTAATCACCAATGTTTTCTCCTTCATACTCTGTCTTGTTAGATAAATTTCCTTCACATATGAAAACCAGACTTTTTTCCAGACAGTTTTTAGGGGTTTATTTTGGTTTGATATAAAAATTGCAAACAAAATGTCAGCGTGAAAGCAAGTCCCAGTGGAAATAACCCTGGGTGGGTGTATATAATGGGGATGGCAAGGCATCCACTGGAAACTGCAGAGGCTGGGTATATCCGACTGCTTCTTGGACCTTTCAGCAGCTATGTTAGTGTAGCACTAAGGTGGTCTGAGACTTGGGGATTTTTCTTTTCTCTCCTCCCCCCTCATCTTCTGACCTTTGTTCTATGGAAGAAAACAATCAGTTTGCAGACTTGTGGCTGAACGAAAGCAGTAAAAACTGCATGTACTTTACCAATTGCTACATGGCCAGGTTGGGCTTTACTTTGTAAGGAATGAGTCAAGAAAACTCTACAATGACAAAAAACAATTGTCTTTAATCCCAGGGGATGACATTGTTATCAGCTGTTTGGATCAGTGGAGCAGATCCAAGCTTTGCCTGTCTCCCTCCATGAGGATACAGGAGTAAAACCCGGTAACTGTATTTGTGGCCTTCTGCATATGCAGCTCAGGTGCAGGCAGTGAGCACTGTGACACACAGTAGGTAAAGCTCTGGCATGGAACCATAGAATAGAATCATGGAATCATCTGGGTTGGAAAAGACCTCTAAGATCATGGAGTCCAACTATTAACTCAGTACTGCCAAGTCCACCATTAAACCATGTCCCTAAACACCACATCTATGTGTTTTTTGAATGCTTCCAGGGACAGCGAATCCACCGCTTCCCTGGACAGCCTGTTCCAATGCTTCACCCTCTCAGTGAATAAAATTTTCCTAATATCCAATCTAAACCTTCTCCAGCACAACTTGAGGCTGTTTCCTCTTGTCCTCTCACTTCTTACCTGGGAGGAGAGTCTGACCCCCACCTGGCTACACCCTCCTTTCATGTAGTTGTAGGGTGCATGAATCTGAAAGGTTTGTCTCCTCTGCAGTAAGACTTCATTGTGTATTCTGTAAATTTATTTGTATGTGAACTGAAATCTTAGTAAGACATGAACTCACTACAGCCTTCTGCTCTCAAAAGCTTCCCCTGGGAGCAGGAAAGTTGCTCCTGTTTTGCATAAGAATTATGAGATGGACTATTAGCTCTGTTGTAAATTAAAGAGAAATCACTTTCCCTGTCTGCTTTAATAAATCTCATGTCAAAAACCCCAAATCTGTAGGCATTACACAGAAATCACATTTGCCTAGAAGTTCCCTGGCAATAATTCTTCTCACTTAGGAGCAAATGAGGAACAAAAAAATATTAATGAATTTATTCCTCAGACAGCCCAAGAGATATTTAGCTGTATTCAGGGCTACCATAATTACATCCATAGAAGGCAACTGAATTTAAAAAAGGGAACAAGTGTTTCACTGATTTTTGTGTGCATGAGACAGACGGTTTAATATTTATGATTAGGAACCATTTTTTTCCTTTTCTTTTTCTTCTTTTTCTGTCCATTGCTTTAAATATGAAAAGCCAAGCTCTTTATCATACACTCTTGCAGCATACAATCCTAGGTGATGAATAATTCCAAGCACAGTCGGTATGCTCATGAAAGGAATGACATCCCACTTCTCCATCACACTACAACACTCCAGGCCACACAGCAGAACAAAAGCCTTCCCTCCTTGCAGATTTCACAGGGCTGCTTAATACTGCTCACCTTTTTCCTGTGGGATAAAACCTGGAGCAGGAGTTGCCATCCCAGGCGCAGTAGGGATCTCGGGCCAGGCAGCAGTCGGCACAGGCGGTCCCGTAGATGTGGCAGCGGTGGAGGGACACCTGGGTGACCCCTTCATCTGAGCTCACATACAACTGTTGCTGCAGGAGGAAATGGAAAGATTTATTTCAGATGTGGAGGAGTTTCACCCAAGACTTGGCTAACACACCTAAAAACCTTTTGATTAATTTTGGAATTAATTCAAGAACCAAGAGGGGAGCCACTAATATAGATAAAGTCAATATCAACAGAAATCTCCCAGCTGAACAGGCCTATAATATTTCTACCTTCCTGCTGGAAAACACCTAGAAACATTGGGGAATGTAATGGATTTTTAAACATTGAGTGTCATTGTTCTGTTCTTGGGCAGACAGGCTGAGTTAATATTGCTCAGATTTGAGAACTTGTTTCTTATTCAGTGAGGATTACTGGCTCGAGCCTTTGAACTAAGTATTTTCACTACACATAGTCACTTTAATAAATATTATGCAGAGTTCCAAGCTGGATTCTACACAGCACAGATTTCCAAGATGTAAAAGCAAGAGATTATGTTGAGGCTTAGGGCCAGATTCTGACAGCCTTATATACCTGGAAAAATAAGCCAAATGAACTTTCATAATAAATCAGAACTTTTGAAAAAGAAGTTCAAAGGGAATAGGTTATTACCAAAATCTGAGCCAAAATGACTGTTTTACTCAAAAAAATTAATCAATTGTTCTTAAAATAGAAATTAATTTTGAACAAAACATTTGAAACTACTTTGATCTTTTTGTCATAAAAGTCAAACATTACACTGAATTCAATTTAGTGACTAATGTTTACTTAGTAGTAGCTTTGTGAAATACTGAGCAACATCTTGCTTGTAAAATCATAGAATACATCTTTTTAGTTTGCATGGTTAACATTTCAGCAGAAATCCTCTCAGCTGTTTTCGTTATTCTTATTGCTATCTTTATTATTAATAAACAAACGTGCACAATTGCACCATGGACCCAACAGCCCCAACAGTGCCTTTTTACATTGATCAGACAGACTTCCAAGGGAAAATTTCTATTTAGGACTTTTGGAAAACAAGGGGAGGGCAAATTTCCTCTTTTAGTACTTTTTTTGGTTCCTTAACTGCCAAACAAAACAACAAAAAAATCAACACTTTCAGTGATTTAGAAATTATACATAATGAATAGAAATTTTATCTTAGTGGTTCTGGGGCATATAAACAGCTCCTGCAAATTTCAGTCAAGTTTTCTGTATTCATTATGGAAAATATGCCTATATTTAGTATGCTCCACAAGAATTGATATCCTAACATCTTTAAGTCAATTTGCTTCTCAGTTAATAAGCACTAATTAGCCATTCCACTTTTCTTTACCTTTTTAGATGAAATCTTCATTGTTGTTATAGGAGAATTACTCTGAAAGACAAAGTTACAAACCAGATTGTCAAGAACTCTCTTTTTAATACTGTCCCAACATTAAAATTTAAAAAGTAATAAAACCTAAGTGCTATTTTCAGAACTAAACAAATGACATATATACAATTAATGTCTTGCTAATTGTTTTACAAGACATTAAACTCAACCACGTTATTATTACTTATGTGCACCAACAAGGTTTTTGTACACTTATAAATAACCTGTCTGTGCTATCTCAGCAATATAGGAACAATGTGTTTTGAAGCCATTACTCTAACTGTGTAATAAGAAAACATTTTTTTCTTAGATGATAATGATAAGGATAATGATAATGATAAGCTCAAGATGCAGATAAGAATATGACAAATTTTTTCTACAATTTACCTACAGTGCATACAGTTTGGTTACCATCCTATATACAAATTCAGATAATCAATTACTAGAATATTTAAAGTGGCATGTGTGTTCTTGAACATTTCTTTCCCACAGACAGTACTGGATACTACTGTGTGTCATCACAGCAGTCAGTTAGTGTCTGTGTCCAAATCAAATGCTAAAGAGCTGGAAAAGAAATTACTACATTCCTTGCCTTAAGCAAGTGATACAAGTCATTATTTTCATCCAAACAAGTGATAAAATTAATGGTAAAAAAAATGTTCAGCATTTCTTTAAGATTTAGCATTTGCTCAGTCACAAATGAAAGCCATAACACTGGGCTAGGATTAATTGCAGTTGACTACAGCACAGCAGGGAGGTCAGGACTAGAAAATCTGGCTGTGAATCCTATGAATTGGCATAGGTTTGAAGGAGTTTAGAGCTGCAGTAGTACTTCATGAACTGTCTGGAGACTCAAGGTCAAATCCAACATTGGATTCAATGTCACATTCTCCTTTCCTTGCTTATACTCTGGAAGAGAATCACTGCTTTGCTGCTCTCAATATTTATTAGCACACAACCAGTGATCTCATCCCTGCTCTCTTGGAGAGACTCATCTAAATACCACCGTGCTGCCACACAGATTGCAATGGCAGGGGTTATGATATCATGATTTTTAGGGTTCAGGATAAAAAGGTCTGTGCATGGAGGCCCAGAAACTAGGTTTAGGGTGAAGATTCCTCTCAGCCCACCTATCTTCTTGCTATATAATATCTGTTTCAGTAAGTGGAATTAGCAATACTTTACTGAAGGGTATGATTTTAGGTAATCTAGGGAAATCTTCAACAAAAGCCTAGAAAGACTAATTGTGCCTTTATGAGGGTTAACACAGAGTGTATTCTTTTTCTTAAAGAAACTGTTAATTCTGCCTAGATAAAAAATCTTAAATTTTCCTTTCTGTATTCCCTGAAGGAAATAGACCATGACAAAACCCTTAACTAAGTGTATAGATGCATACTACCATTTGCCCCGAGACCACTGTTTAATGAATAGCCCATTCAAATATTTGAAAGAGATTTTTTAACATGAGGGAGAACATTTTCTTTAGGTTATTACAAGCTGTTACATGCCAGAGTGATTGACAGAGGCTATTCCCTTATTTCTCCCTGCAGTTCTTGTGTTTCTTTTCAGCTTATGTTGTGTTCACAGCTCATAGCTTTCTTGACTCCAGAGGCATGTGGCTTTGAAGAACTGAAGTTAAGCAAAAACAACACTAATTTGGTTCCATTCTGCAGCTCAGAACCAGGAAGATTATCAGATAATCAAAGTACAGAAGTCTTAGATTTCTTCTGTAAATAGTGACAGTCTCAATACATGATGCCAGTGATAAAAGTTGCCTTCTGGCAGCTACTATAACATGACCTTGTAAAAATGTGATTATCAAAATCCTTCTAGCCAGTACAACAATATAAAAAATAAGCAACTGAAATATAGAAGAAAAGGACTTCAGCTAGCTACAGCCTTCATAACAGTGGACATTTTGTATTCCTCTTTGTGTATTTATCAAGCTGACAGTATGCACATTTACTTGATCTTTTATCAAATCACAGTTGCCCTTGCCAAAGTCTGTTAGAACAAGTGTTTGTGTGAACATACACATTGGAAGAGTAAAAGTAGGAGCAAGTCAAACCTGAAAAACTTCCAACTCTTCTAAAATGAGTTCTCCACTTGCAGAGAAGTTCGTGGGTAGGACAACAACTTTCTGTACAGTTCCTTGATCTGGAAAACATGAGAACAAGTGAAACCATGTGAAGAGAGACCAAGGAGTGAGAGAAAGAAAAAAGGAGATCAACCTTTATTAATTATAAAAAGAAACCATCAAAGTAATTACTATGACATGGAGAAAGACATGAAATGTTCAGTAATTTAGAGGGTTTGGGGTCAGAAAGAATAATAAGATGATTCCTTACATAGGAATATTATATATAGTATTATTCTCATATATGAACATGAAGAAGTCATGGTAAGATTGGAGTTACAGTACTACCATTAATGTTACCATTCTACACAAAAAGATCAATCAAAACCAGTATCTTCTGTAGTAGTAGTTGCTACTACACACAGACAGAGGCAGAATCTATGCTAATGATCTTAAAGTAAAACAAAGCAATATAAACAGGTAAAAGGGAGCTACTGCAGAATTTAACATACATTCATATTCAATAATAAAATGCTATGATAACTGATGACATGACAGGTAAGCCTGCCAAAGAATAACTCTATCTACACCTAAACACAGTAAGATAAAAACGTTTTCTTAGGAAATTCAAACAATAATCAATCATTACATACTGCTAGGAGTTAATATTTTGTCCATATCGTAAAAAGGAAAAGCAAGGTAAAGTTATAGTAACTATTATATCATAGCTGCCCTCTCAAAATACAGTTCCAAGCCTCCCAAATCCACTCAGATCAAAGGAGTAAGAAATAGAAAGGATGTGGCACTGACAGTGTTTTTGCAGGGTAGATGTGATGAGTGAGACCAAAGGGAAATTTGTGATTAGTTTTCCAAATTTGTTATGCGGAAAAAATATATGAGATGAAGGAGTCCATCTGTGAAGGCTCTTAAAGGCTGAGACAGCCTCTGAAGTATTTCTGGTGTGGCAGAAAAGACAGACTGTGGGATAATCACAAGGACAAGTAATTTTACTTGGAAGAAGCACAGCACATAGAATTCCTCTTGCCTGAAAGGCCTAGAAATTAGTCTGAGTAGATTAAATATATTTGCTCAGTATTGATCCTGAGGAATGAGAACACATGGTATAGATTCTGTACGGCCATCAAAAGTTTCATAAGAGCTGTGCAGTTAGTAAAACATTAGTACAGCACAATATAGGTAAGATATATATTTTTATGATTTTGATACCAAGGAAAGGAAATTTCAGCTTCCTCTCTGGCAATTCATAATGCAGACAACGTAAGCTGAAAAAGTGCAATTTTGCTTTTGCTTTAAGGTCAATGACGATTTCCATAGCTAGAGCTGCAGGGCAAGTTGGTTACTGTAAATAAGTTACATATTCTTATTTCCCCTGAGGAAACATCATCATCATCATCATCATCATTATCATCATCATCATCATATAATGATAATATAATGATAATAATAATGATAATAATGATAATAATAGTAACATAATCAACAACTATTATTATTTTTATTTAAAAAAAAAAGGTTTAAAGCCAGAATATTGATATTTACTGACTTCACCACACACAGAGAGCACACTGCAGTATTTTGTCTTTAAAGAAAAGAAGGAAAAGAGAAACCGAAAGCTGACAGGACTTAAAAATATGTAGCTATCAATTGTACATGCTCAGGGCATGTTAGGCATGAATTTTTCACGAGAATTTTCTATGGAGACATTTATTCTCATTATACAATGGCATGATAAACCAGTTCCTTCTGAAGAAACTTTACTGAAACTAAATCTTGTGGTAGCATAGCTGTGGTCTAACCTGGGTGCCAGTATTAGCAAAGCTGTGAGAACCTGAGAGAGATTTACTAACTGCCAGGACCCACCAAAGCTCTAAACTGCTGCAGATGTATCCCTCATTGAGGTAAGTAGAAGCCAGTCTGTGTATTTCTGCTCCTACTAAATGGACAAACCTACTCACAAATATACACGGCTCCAGTCCAGTCCACCTTTGCCTCTTCACACCCTTTTATCAATTCCCTCTCTCTCATGTTAGACTCTACATTACAAAACACTTAATAAGAAGTGCAGGAAGGAGCTGCAGCCCTTTGTGGTTTTTTTGCAACTGCCTTTTGTGGTTTTTTTGCAACTGGCATACAGGGCACTAACCATGTTGACAGTGACCTTACCTGCAAAGGAATGTGAGGCTGCTGAGCCTCTGAAGAACCGGTTTATGTCAATGATCCATTAGCACATGCCACACATTTAAAATTCCTAAATTGTCTTGAGCCCTCAAACATTGCCCTGAACTGAAGTCAGAACCTCAGGGGAGATTTTATCCTGGGCATTGGCACAGAAAATACTGATAATGCCTGACGCCAAGTCCTTGTGTCCTAATAACCTTTACTATTTGTAAAGTAGGGTCCTATCTACATTTTTGTCACACCCCAGCAAAACACACAGAGTGAAGTATTCATTCCCTTTGGCTCAATATTTTACCTTTTGCTTTGATTCAGTATTATACCATGAGGGACAGATCCTTGCAGAAAGGAATGTTCTATTGTTTTAAAGGAGACTTAATAAAAGAATTAAAATATTCAAGTAGGCAGTAGAAAGCTATTAATTAAATGAAATTACTTAAAGCAAGGGATTCCAATAGTCTGTACATATATAAAAATAAAATACTTCCAATAATATATAGCTTATAGGCTATAGTCCTCCCATTGCTTCTAAAAACAGTTTTTCTCCTGTTGCTCAGCCTCTTCCTTAAAAAACAAAAAGCAAATATTTGTGCCCAATCCCCCCTTCTTATTTCTTTCTCAATAGTACTGTTGTCTCCAGTGTAAGAGACAAATTGGTAGCTAACAAATCAAGTCACTTACACGTGTTCATGTCAGAAAAACTTATGATATATTTGAGTTTTGTTGGAAATATTATTTGCTTATTTCCGCTAATGGTGAGGCAGTGAACTAAATTCCCCGGGTCAAGGGGAAAGTTGGAAGGGCTGCAGCACTGTGCACTGCAAGAGATTTATGCAAAGTAGCAGTGCCTGAGCTGTTTCCCAGTGTATTTCTCAAGAGATAATCTTTTGCACTGTAAATCAGGCAGAAGAGAAAATCAAAGAAGTACAAGTCAAATTTTTTCAAGTTTGGATCAATGTATGAAATTATAAGCTAATTCTGTAAAAATCATAAAAATTAACATAAAAAATGGTTTCCTTCACCATTTACTTGATCCTTCCAGAAATCCACTTGAAAGCAGGCCTGCATTGCTATGATTTCACACTGTCATGAAATAGCTACTGCGTCTCCAGAATATCAATCCACCACTAGAAGTGAAGAGGCAGATTTATGCTCACCACTTCCCTGACTTTTCACCAGGAGCTGTTTGCAGCCTCACATCAACTCAAGCAGTCTGTGACTTAAGGGCAGACAGACAAACAAAAAGGAATCTCCCTCAAGCTGACAGCAAGAGGACAAGGGCAACTCAAAATGTTTTTCCATTTCAAACCTGCTTAATAACTGCAGGTGTCCCAGCCTCACATGAAGGGCAATGATAACGAGATCACGTTCCCTCTGAGAGGACTAAGAAACTGGGAACAGCAAGGGAGGAAAGTGAAGATGAAAAAATAGTGTAGAAAGTATGCAAAGTGGGAAATAAATGGAAAAGGAAGGTAGTCCAATAAATTGTTTAAGGAAAGAAGCAGAAGAGACAAATAATAATAATAATAATAATCAGAATTATAATAATATTCCTTTAAATGCAAGGTGTGATTCTGGGCTGATGTTAATCAGCTAAGCTTCATCAATACCAGTTAGCCTGTGCCTGATT